TTTAAAAAATTTAATCCGAATTTCCTCAGACTGCTCTTAAAAATGCCATTTTCAGCATGACTACCAATTGATGAAATGGCAAAAAAATCATACCAAGAGTAATTGGAATTTTTTCTTTTAACTTTCTTTGAATAGCAGTGAATCAAAGCTTTAAACTTTGAAAAAAAAATTGGTAGGTTCATGAGTCCGGAAGAAAGATATAATCATCTGACTTTCATTAGGTCTTGCTCAATTTTTAGCCTTTTCCAAAAAAACATTTATATATAAAAAGATAAACACAAAAAATCTTAAAAGTATGCATTAAATAATCAAATACATTGTATAATTTATCAATTATGAACATTTGAGGTAAACATATTCAATAAAACAGTCATTAGCATCAGAAACATTAAAATAATCTCTCAGTTCGAATTTCCTCTGACATATTGAAATTAATGCATTTTTCATGTATGCCATGTAATATTTATGCCAACTTTCTTTTTAATTTTAAGTTTACAAACCTGCCGCACAAGTTTTTTGAATTATCAAGGGTAAAAATGAGGAAAACAAGATTTTTTTCTTTCCGATGTCAAATTTGACATAGGTGTAGGTACAACTGGTATAGCAGCACCATGCATAGCTTGGTTCAGTGTAAAAAAAAATCTTGTGTTTTTTATTTGCTTTTCGTTTTTTGGGGTTTGTTTATTTTGTTTATTTGTTTGTTTTGTTTGGTTTGGGGGTTTTTTTTTGGTTTGTTTGTTTTTTTTCTTTGGTTTGTTTTTAAGGATTTAGAGGTGTAATAGGCCACTTCCGGTTAAAATGCCGAGGTGTTTGACATCGGCAGTTCTCGGAACATATTTCTTCGTAAACAAAAATGGCGCGTCGTCAAGACGGCCTAGGACGCTATCATAAAACATACATCAAAGGAACAGATTATAACTAATCAAAGGAAAGAATTGATATGATATTAAATAGAAAACACCTTACTATATACACACTACAAGGGTTTTTCCAACTTCTAAAAATAGCACCGATTTCGAAACAACAAACGAAGTAACTTTTCATTGTAATTTTGTGAGTCTCTTAGTATCAGCTAACAGTTTGAGCGAATAATGTATGTTACAATATTAATAGCATGGCGTGTATTGCGGAATCTGCAATAAATCGACAAATGTTACGTACATAAAATCCCTACATAATGTTATATCCTGGAATTGTGCAAACCTGTGGCCGTGCTAAATGATTCTCAGGATTTGTGAAATATTGATGGTTTCTTGAAAAATAATTGAAAAAACAGACTTAAAATATCTAGATACTCATGCAACATACATTTATGTCACGTTCAATTATCAATGTTATCACACATGTATGTGAAATATCTGAGATGATCTAAATAGATCGATCAGTAAAAGAAATGTAATTATATGTTTAGAACTTTAACCAAAAAAAAAATTATATCAGCTATGAGAACAAAATATTCTGGGTAAGGTCAGGGTGAATTTTATCGGTGTGTGGTTTTTATTTATTTATTTTTTGAATGAGTTTACCCGCGTCGGAAACGGGGGTGGGGGGGGGGGGGTTCAACATATTTATTTATGCATATTTTATTAATTTATATTATATGTGAGGGACAATATCGTTTTTAAAACCCTTTGATCAGTGTTTTGCGATCTGTCAGATGTATTTTAGCCTTCATTGTAAAGTAAATAAAAACTATGAAGAACTTTATACACATGGGAACTGCAAAAATGTAGTTTATTTTGTAAACCCTATCTAAGTCAAGGTCAGTGTGATAAGAGGTCGATTTTCTGAGGAAATGAATCTAATGTGAATTGAGTTGAGTATGACAATCATTTTTTTATATGTGTTCAAGCTCATAAGTTCATTCATTACAACCTACCCTATGCCATGAACAAAAAAAAAATAATGGCTTACATTTTTAGGGGGAACATCACTCTGATGTAGAATATAGATAAATATTGTGGATAGAATAATTCTTTTTTGTGGTTATATTATCACAAATACATGTCACACAAAATTTACTATGTTTTCTTATTGATCATCCCTTCCATAATTTTCTATGGGTAATTAATATAAATGGTATTATAACAATATTGTTTAAATTGTCACTGAAAGCAGACAAGCTCTCTCGATTACAAGTATTCATATATCACATCTGATGACTCTGAACTAAAAAAAATTGAATGTCTACAATCCTAGGGCTTATTTTTACAGTTGAATACATGAAACTTTAAACTGTTCTCTGGCTTACTAGAAAAATTACATCTCTACCCTTTGTCTATTAAGGGTGCACCACTGGCGAGTGGGTACAGCTACATTAATGAGCACATAAGAAATATGTATGAACAAAATTGCATGAAACTAAGGGAAATATTGCCGAAAGTGTTGTTCATTATAACTATGCTTAATTAGGTCATATTCAAGGTCATGGCTATTACACCCCTAATACCTTAATTTTTATTTATTTATTTATTTTTTTTTTTTTCGCAATAGTCAATTAGTTATCTCAGATTTTGAATTTCATAAAATTGTAGATTCTGAAAATTCTTTTTTCCTCCAGGGATAATTATACATTATAGATAAAATTAAAATACTAAAACAACATTTCATACACATGATAATTAATTTAGATACTACCAATTAATGTACTTAATCAAAGAATTGTTTCCATTATACATGTATGTACATCATAACGTTATGTTGTATTCTAGTGTCTTGTTTATCTGTTAACATGAAAAATGTTTTTTTTTTCATGGGGCCCTGAATTGGTAATAAATCGTTCTCTAATTCGATAATGAAATCATTTAATAGTTTATTTATTTATTTTCATATCTAAAAAATTAAAAATGCTTCATGTCCATGCTTGATTGATGACTATTCCTTCATTTTTCAATTGAAAACCCTATATGAGGCCCCAATTTGAGAATCTGACGAGGAGTAACTTCCTTTCATTTTAAAATATAAACAAAAAATGTACTAATTTATGTTTTTTTCACAAAAAATCATAATTTTTTCATTCTATAATAATTATAGCTTAATTTTATGTCTTCCAATATGTCCTAAGTTAGAGAATATTAATTAAAAATATGAAAAAATAATAATCGTTTCACTTATATTAGTAATATCAAAAACAAACAAAGTTATCATTTTTTTTCACGACATCTCTTATAAAGCCGACGTTCTAAGTCACAAAACTATCAAAATACTATGGTATTTCTTTTTATTTTCATTTTACGTTTTATGTCTGGTGGGGCAATTGTGTGCCTTGTTTTACATATATGTATGATTTTAATGTTCCAAGTACGTACATGTATACGGTATAGCGTAGTCTGCGTACATGTAACAGTCATTGTTCATGTTTCAACGTACTCAACAGCTCAAAGGTGCGTAGGGTAGTACTTATGATTGAAATAATTGTAGTCAGGTCGTTCAGACTTCTTAGCTCATCTTGCTGTTTGAATACTGGACATCCGTTGATATTTACACAGACACCTGAATTTTTATCAATGAGTCGCTAATTAAGCCAAATATCGAAAAATTCTACCCCCTCTAAGTTATATGTATAACTGTATAAATACACAAGGTACGCAACGCCAATTTGACCCCCTCTCGGTTCAGGCTTGAATTTAACACATAAATCGGACATGCCTACCGGTTTGCGTGTAGCATTGGGTTCAAATATGATATTTCTCGCTATAGATTTCTTCCTAAAGTTTAAATCCAACGCGTTGATAATGCAAACAACTACTGAAATTCATGGCCAAAATTCATGCAAACTTCGAATTTCGTTCCAAGACGTCACGGAAATGTAATCTCTACACCAAATGCTCTGATACATAAATTAATCAAACATTTGTTAAATAAAATCAAGGATAACAAGCAATATGATTTTTCCGTATTTGATTATTTCTTATTTTTGTTTATTAATGAAATAAATCTATAATTGTTGTATCAAAAAGTTTATGTATTAGAGCATTTGGCGTAGAGATTAAATTTCCTTGACGTTTCGCGTTGCGCAGTTGACGTATTTTCGTCACGTTCGAATCACCTAAAAGCGTCCTCCATGCAAAATGCGAACTATTTAGTGATATCGGGTAATATTATGCTTGTATAAATTAAGACATGAAAAACAAGACTTTAAAATTTAAATAATTATCAGTAAATTAAATATTTTTAAGAGGAAAGAAACTCTTTAGATTGATTTTTAAAAATGGATGCTTTTTTTCAATATTACTTTCGCAAGTCATATTGGTGAGCTGGCCGAAAAATATCTTTGAAATTGATCTTAGTTAATAATTCATACTTATATCTTTATGTCCCACTTTTCTCACTTGATACAAGGATCATCATTCAGAATAATTTTAATTGATTAAATTATCCAGAGTTCATTTAATATAAATTAATTCACTTTCATGCATGTTCTTTAAGATACCTTTTGATAATGATAGTTATTGAAAACTTATCACTATATTTTCTGCTTTTATGACTTCAAAATGTATTTGTCAGAAAGCTTCAAATTGCTTACCTTAGGCTTAAATGAAATTGATTTATCGTAATAACATATCATTGAATCGGATCCATTATTTAGATGCTTATTCAAAACACTTTTGATCGTGAATCCGTATGATTTATTGCTAAGCGAAGTTAATAGAGAATTAAGCCAATTACTGTTAAAATTTGTACATTGCTAAAGGAAACTGGCAAAGAATAATCTACAGATTTAGCCTTATTGTGCCCTATAAAGAACAAGGTTCACCTTTGCCTCATTTGGCCCTGTGAAATTCTGAAAACTGTAACGGTATAGTTTTAGTTAACGATGCATTTGATATCTCTTCTTTTGTGACTGCGTATCTATCAAAAATGTCGTAATTTTCTGGCTGGTCAATGCAGTTTGACGTCAGGAATTGCAACAATTTCCTCATATTCTACATTTTGCACTTTGTGTCTAAATAAAAATTATTATTGACTTTTCTCAATAACTTTTAGAGAACACTCGCCCGATGGACTGTAAACGTTTGCTTGCTGATGGGTTTACTTTATCAGGTGTTTATACGATTCATCCCTGGGACAATAGTTCAGTGGACGTTTACTGTGATATGGATACAGAAGATGGAGGATGGACGGTCAGTGTAATTAATCACTGCATGGAAATATATGAATACAAATTTTATTTAAAGATTTTAACGATCTTTTTTCTTTATACAATAGATTATACAAAGGCGTGTAAACGGATCGATTGCTTTCAACAGAACTTGGAATGAATACAAGGAGGGATTTGGTTCTGTTCACTCGTCTTATTGGATAGGTATACATATATATGTATTTGATTTTTGATTTTTGTAATAAATATCAAGTCGCAATTGATTTAAAGATTTTTGTTTAAAAGATGCATCTATTTTGTTATCTTATAAATTACATATAGTACGATATAACGGATGTGCTATACATCTGTTTAACCAAGTGTTGTGATACCAAGTTAAAAATAAGAATTATTTCATACTGTGATTCTGATATCAAACTAACTTTAATTCTAGCATTTAGTAATAAACTTTTCAAATGAATTATAAAAGAGCAACAACTCCTTCTTGTAATCCCAAAATATATATACATGTATATATAAATAGTACAAATACTTGTTTCTCTGAAATTTATAATTCATTAACATGCAAGTGCAACATTACATAATGTGATTGATAGCAATCAAAAGCTATAAAGATTGCTGTTTGTTTGATTTTTTTTTACTTTATTTAAATGTGAAATAGTCTACAAATATTGTTTTCACATTTTAATTTCAGGTCCGTTAAAGATTAGAGAACTTTATGCTTTAAATAGCATATTTAGCCCCCACCTGATGGGAACAATTTCCTGAAGTATGCTAAATTGTATGAGAAATATAAATTAACAAAACATAAGGGAAAACAAAATTACGAAAAATCAGCAATACCACATAGACGGACTTTTTTACATTTTGCTTTTCCTAATTAAATTTACCTGGCTTGGTATATTTTTCTCAAGTTTATTTTTACACTTTTAGCACAAAGGCAACACACTCTTAAATTTGTTCTTACCTGTAAACCATTACTAAGTCCGATTTGTCTATTTTTTATTTTTTTAAAGTTAAAATATTAGTAAAATTTTCGAGGTCTATTTCATTTTCCAGTTCTTTGTACCATCTGTCCTAAGATTGGAAAACCATTTTTAACTTAAGCATTGACCATAATGCCTATTGGCCACATCGCTCACCGGAGCTTACTGTAGCTAGGAAAAAAGCAAATATCAATCCATTATTGAAAAGCTTAAATACATAAGGGGTTCAAATCTTATCCTAAATGGAGGTATGAGGGTTATAATTTTATTTATTTTTTAATCTAAACTAAAAATGTTTGCATATTTATTAATATGGCTTTTTCGCCCATTAGATTGAACTTTCATTTTAGCCCTTACTTACCCCAGAGGTCATGTTTTGAACAAATTTGAATCTACACTACCTAAGGATGCTTCCATATAAAAATGACTAATAATGGCTGTGTTGTTCGTGAGAAAAAAATTAAAGATTTTATTCTTATTCCTATTTAAATCTTTTGATCGACTGAATTTGGCTCAGTGGTTTCAGAGAAAAATTAGATATCCATGATACAAGAATCATGAACAAAAAAAAACGCATATGAAAACAATTTAGCAGATATACTTTAAATATTTAATTTAATCAGAAACCAGACAAGGATCCCACCTTAACATAGATCTATTTCAAGAAAGTTGACCATGCCATGTCCTTCACTATTCTATTTTAGGAAATGACGTCATTCATCAATTAACTAAGAATAGACCGTCTCTCTATGTGTCTATTACTCTGACCAATGGAACAACTCTATATCAACAGTACGGTGAATTCTCTGTGAACAACGAGACAGATAACTACAGACTTTACCTTGGTGGACCATCGGAGGGGACCTTAGGTGGGTCGTCAGACCGCTTCCTTGCAATCTTTATACATATGTAAATTATTAACAAAATCAAAAACGCTAGCAGTAAATATATTTTATTCATGTTATTCAACTTTTATCCAGCCGTGAAGATGAGAGTTACATTGGATAAATTATCAATCAAATTATAAATTGATTAACTAACACAACGATATTGTGTAAGAAGGAATGGAATCTCATTACCGACATTTACGGGGCCATATTCCTTATTTTTCATAATTTTCATTTTCTTCACTTGTACAGGTGACAGTATGATTGACACAGGGAAATCATGGGCCGATCTGTCTGGGATGTACTTCTCCACCCCAGACAGAGATAATGACAATAATACTGTTAACTGTGCTGCTCTCAGTGACCGTAGAGGAGGCTGGTGGTTTAACACCTGTCACCTAGCCTTCCTTAACGGTCAATGGTCTCCAGGATCCTGGGCCGATCCTTGGTTTCCTACAGTGATTCATAATAAAGATATAAAAGAGACTGTTATGATGATAAAAACTCGTTAATACTGATCAATGATATTTTTTGTCAGAATTTTTTTAATTGCCGTTTTTTTTTATCAAAACTAACTCAGACACTGCAAAGCTTTTATGCAGAAATTGGTTTCCTGCCATATGCAGTACAACTTATCTTATTCAGACCCCTCTAGTTCAAAATTGCCTGAAAAATATGTCATCTTGATTAAAACAATGTTTAAGGAAAAATATTTATTGAAATATCGCGTTGTATAAGAAAAGATTTTAAAATATACATCATAAAGACAAGACATTATTTATTAAAGTTTGTTTTGTACATGTAAGTGAAGTAAGTATACATTGAGAGTATTGCTTTACTTTTTATGCTTTTATATTACTAAAATACTTTCAAAATGATCACTTTTATGTAAAAAAAGTATATATCAGTTTTTCATTGTTTAAAATTAATGAAGGTATGTATTGTTTGACAAAACATTATGAAGTAAATTGTCATTCTTTAAATTCTTATTATTATCTATATTGTATATAAAGTGATGTCAATCTAAGATCTCTAAAAAGATCATTTTAAAACATTTCGATAAAAATATGAATTTTAGATATGCAATATTTTTTACAAATATTTAATATACAATATGCCAGCAAAATGATATATGGAAATGACTTCTGTGACCCTCATTTTACTGCTTCGACTGTAATGCAGCAATTGATCCGATGTTATTCTAAGAATGCACTGTTTATAAAAAGTTAGTGACATTAACTTAATCATATTACTGATCTATTTTAATTGCCTACTTATATTATAGATTTAGGTAAAATTTAGGTCTTTGATATATTATATTAAATTATGACCTCTTCTCACCATATAAATATAAACTAATCTATTAATATTTATTTTCAATATATAATTATATAAATTATTGTGAATCATGCTGTTCAATGCATGTTTAGAAATTGTTTTCATCTTGATAAGGCAAATGAAAAGAGTTGTCGTTCCTTTAATTAGAGGTCAGACTTGGATGGTGTTTGTCAATGATGAGCTATCACAGAACTTTAAATGGAATTTCAATTCAATGATTGTAAATATCTTTGTATGCTCATCTCACTGTTCATCGGACACAAATCATAAAGCATTCAATATAATAATTAAATTTCATTTAATTGATGAATATTTTAAAAAAAAATCGGGATTTTTCTTCTTAGCTAAGTGGAAATCGATTTTAACATAAATTTCGTATATCCCCGAGTAAAATAAAAAAAAAAAACAAGATTATCTCACGCTAAAGTGACAACACAGTGAGGCTACAAAACGTTGAAATCAAAACATTTAGTTTATTTTTGCAGATCTTATACAAGAAAAATGTCAAAAAAAGGAATGTTTGTGTGAAAATTGGACAGTAAATCAAAAGACGTTGAAGTTGGTATACTTTTATAAAGCGGTTCTTCAAGAAAGATGTCTAAGTGTAAAGTCTATGTTATAGCTAATCATGTATAAGATTATTCCCATTTCAAAACCTCATGTTGCCACAATAACTGCAATATCTTGTTAAACGAAAAGATTTTTATTCTTCATGTTTATACATTTATGTGATATAAATGGTGATAATAAATGTATGTTTTCATTTGTTTTACTTCAATTTGTGGAAAAAGAGAGGAAATCGATTTGATGGTTAAAGATACATTAGGTGTTTTTGAAATGCTGGTACATGTATATGGATCTGTGTAGAAAGTAAAGAATATTTTAATTTTTTTCTCAATATATTTCATTAACAAAAACTTTTTGTGAAATCCATGGTCACTTTTGTCCAATTTTTAAAAAAGATCTTTACTAATTCAACTTTAATTTTAGAATAAAATAGTTTATTATTTACTTCGGTTGTAAAATTTAAAATCAACGTTGACAATACAAGTCACTGTACGTATAGGACTTTAGGTTTTCATGTCAGACTTCAATACAATATTTATATCCATTACTTTTCACTAATAATAATTAATCTCATAAAATGAAAATCCTTTCCGTAGCTTATTCTAGTTGCTTGAACCACTTCAGAAGACATGAGAACTTTAGTTGAATGAACGTCATTTATTGACCAGAAAAATGACGAAAGTGAACAAAGGCACACATATATACAATTACATACAATCATATGGAAGGATATGGAGATAACGAACAGTATTCAATTTCAAAGTCCATTAAACAATATACAAAATCAGAGCAGAGCATTCACGGACCTCCGAAACATCAGAGGTGGGATAAGGTGCCATGGAGGAGTGAGCATCCCCTGCCGACCGGTCACACCCGCCGCAGAGTTATATCTGAATAAGTATCAAGACAATTAGAGCTTTAAAAAAAAAAGCTTACCGTCTTTAGCAACAACCTTAAACATTTAATTTGATCTACACCTATCAGGCCGTATTATTCTTACGAATTGCTTGATTTTGTATTTCTACATTAGCTTTTTTCTGGCATAAGCCCTACCACTGTTGTCACTCGGTCATCTTCGTAAACTTTGCCTGGTAGAGAGCTTTTGGCAAACCTCGGCCGATTCCGTTGTCTTCTTCAAACTAGAAATTGGAAAGAATAATAACAAATTGTAAACCCTGCCAGCAATAAATATCAAATTTTATTTACAATGAAAATTAAGAGACCTTTTCTGATTGTTATAAAAAATACCATGCTATTTAGAATTAATTACTGCTGATTTCGTTGTTCGTTGTGTCATTTTTGGGAGTTGAACTAAGTTCAGACTCCCTAGGCTGTCACGCGGTTTCTAGCGCAGTAATTTAACAATGAATTACATAGCGGTCGTCGTGGTGTTTCTGTGTCGTCCAATTTACTCCCCTTTGATATTCAATACAAACTCGTACCAGTCTATATAAACTCGAAGAAACTTCCGCAATAAAAATAGTCCATTTCATTTTTCTGAATTAATTTAATTTTCATAACTGATTTGAAAGTAAATGAAATAGAATTTTATTAAACTTAATTTGAATAGTATGTTTTTGTCATCTTTCTTGAGAAAAGACAAATAAATTTTGATTATCGTATGAAAAAAAGTCCCAGTTTTCCGACATTTATCATTCGGCAATCCTCGGCTGACTCCACTACGCTTCATTACAAAAAGTGCTAGGTCATCCAAGGAGCAACAACTGGTCTAACTGGTTTGACAATGACGCGATTGTCTAAGTATAGAGACGTAAACAAAGATGTAAGGAAAGAAACGCTAAGGTTTAACCAAACTTCTTTGTTTCAGCAATAAAGAGACAGAACAACGTTTCTTATTTTAAAAAAAACACTGCGGAAAATATTTATTTGCTCTGACAAGTAAAATGATCTGTTAGACTGGAAAATTTTTGTCAGACCAGATACATGCAACTAATTTTTTTACGTTGGTAAAGGGAAAAAATAATAGCATTAAAGTTTGTTGATATTCGATCACACAATTTCAAATGACATTAATTTTGCATCCATTAATTTCATGAATTTATCAGCATTCAGTTGGTCACTTATACAACACCAAATCTGAACTTGAAAAATGTGTGTGTACTTGTATTGCAGTATTACCTTATAAAATGTATCATTTGATTTTATTATATAATTAAAACAGTTAAGATTAATGAATACATGCGTATGCACAGACACAATGGTATGATAATCCCAATCATCGATATTTGAGAAAGATCGTTCCTCATGATTGCAACTATTTTTTTTCTTGTAGTAGCTCGTTAAACTATTTCTGATTTTTAATTACATTTGAATCAAATCAAAATCACAAACTTTAAGTCTCACTCGCGTGACGCAGTTGTTAGAATAGTTTGCCCTAGAGATTCAACGTAATGTGTTAATTGATCCTTACGTCACAGGTTCGAATCACGTGGGATGCATTTGGAGATAAACTCTGTTGATGAGACAATATAAACCGAAATCCCATGTCGCAGTATGTGCTTGCACAAAACGATCCCTCACTACTCAATGGTTTTGAGAGCCGTGTATATGAAAAAAAAATGTAGACTTACATGTAGCTAAGTGTTTCAATATGATTGAAAAATTATCGAACGTAAAACAAACAAAATGTAAAGTATTCAGACATACTTAGTTCTATATAGATATTACTTGAAATTTAAATTAAATTTAAAATTATGGAATAACAAAACTTGATGAATAAGTTATAAAGATAGATACATTTGATAAAATAGATAAGCATGGAGTTCAATAAAAATTAATTATTATGTCCGAAAAGAAACATTCATACCCAAAAGAGAATAGCAAATATTTGTTTTAATCGGAGGAAGAAAAATGTCAATCTAGTGTCTGGTGATGGTAACATCGAATATAAAGAGTGTTTGTTTGTTTGTTTCTTGGGACCAAATACATGTATCTTGTACACATTCTAAAGAGAGTAGGGGGCGTTTTGATTCAAATGTTTCAGAAATATAAGGGTAGTTTTTGAGTTTTAGTAATAAATGGTACTAAAAGAAGTTTTAAACCTAACAACAAAAATAGTATTTTCGAGTTTGAAAATTTTTTTTTTGGTGATCGGGGTTGTTTGTTTGGTTTGGTCAAATTGTTGAGGTAAAAATTAGAAAGAATTAATCCAGAACTAAACTTAACTGTTCGTGCGCAATAAATATACATGTACAGTTATTTTCAATGGATAGCACTGTAGGTCTCCGGTCTGTCATTATTTCCGGAGAGCTACAATTCTGCAGCTAATTTAAGAGCAGTCCCATGATCTTGGCTATTTAAATGCAATAGAAATCATTTTTAATGTTTCGTTTTGTATCTCTAACAAATTAGTTCTAGATGACTTGAATCTGAATGCATGAAGATGTTCCTATACTTCCTGTGAGATCTTTCAGATAACAATGTTCAACTCCCATGAGTACTTTCAGTACTTTGATTTTAAGTTTGAAAATCAAAATTGTTAAGTAGTACGGAAATTAGATCATCAGAAAGTTATTTCTCTTGCCTTGAACAGAATTTCAACCAATAAAATAATTGAAAACTTTCTCATCATGCAATTTCTACCAATTACAACAGAGAAAAAATGCATGGTCCGAAGACTGTAAAAAAAAATTCAATTAAATTAGGAAATTAAAGGGCAAAGGTTGCAAAACTTGTGATAAAAAATATTGTTAACGAGAAAAAGGGCCTCATTAACATTTTTTAGGCACAAACCTAAGTATCGTGAGCTCATTTCTACAACATAGTTTTTATGAACGGTTGTATGTTGACCTTATGCACAGAACAAACTCCTACTGAGCTTCAACTGTGATGCATCTGTATTGGAAGTTTAATTGTGACGTCATGAAAAATTTAACAAGCCATAAATCAAATTATCAACATCAAGATGGGTGAATAACAACCTAAATTTAATTAATTTATCAAATATTCGCAAAATCTTTAAAAAATTACAATACTTGATAACGGTGCTGCCGAGCCTAGTCTTTAAGTAAGGGTCTGGGTAAAAATCATGCAGCGGATGATAAATGGGTGTCTCAGAATTTTTTCCAGAATTTTTTCATGTTAGTAGAGTATGCTAAGATACTAAAAAAATATAGTTTTTTTCTTGAAATTTTGTCATTGGTATCCAGGGCAACCAATAAATAGTTTTAGGCAAAAATGACTGAAATTCCTCTAGAAACAAGCAAAAATATCAATATTGAAGATTAATTAAAAAGGAAACAAAATTTCTAAATAACCAACATCAAAACTTAAAGGCCATGGTAGGTTCAAAGACACTATATTCTGCAGCAAATTAAAAAATAAAAACATTTTTGTACAAATGATAATTAATTACCCAAAATAAGTTTGTACAAAAATGGTAATTTCACCTTCTTTGTCACAGTCCAGAATATGTCATACTTGCATGTAAAAAATAAATAGCATTTCAAAACATTTTTTTTTATATTTCCAATTTCAAATACAACTAAATTATTTAATTTTCGTAATATAATCTAAATATTACAATGTATATACTATATACAAATGTCTTGTTGAAAGCCATGGCAAGCATTTTCTTTTTTCCATGCATAAATATTTAAAAAAAACCTCTTGAAACAATCTGAAGAAAACAAAGCCTCAATTTGTCAAATTAATACAGAAACATTCCCGGAAAATGTAAATTTGATACTGTTAATTACTAACGTGACACGTCATAATTTGAGTGTCAGGGTTAAACATAGGAAACACATGTATAAGAAAAGCTTTAACTTATTTATCTGAAGATCTGCAAAGTCATTGTTGCTGTATTACATGTAATACATATTTATAAAAATCAATAATATAGATTCAAATTTATTTAAATCATTAACAACGGGGGTAGGACAGGGCACATCAGGTTAATCTACTAATACGTAAGATTATATAAAAACAATCTTATTTAAAAAATTCTCAGGAGTCATGCAGTCATAATTTACAACCATTCCCCACGATTAATTAAAATCCAGGCTATTTGATATCATAGAAAGCTGCTCCTTCAAAAAAAAAAATCATGGAACTCGTTGATTTACTTACCTGGTCATTTGTCATTTGCAAAATTAATTTGTTAAAAAAGGATTCTGATCGTACACACAAGTACTCTGAAGTTGACATCAAGAAGATGCTTTAGTTATTGAATGACGATATCTATGTGGTTTTTGGAGACTTTGTCTTCCAGTATCATTGTTGCTGTATTAATACAAGCAAGTTGATGAAACAAGAAAAAACTATTTATTTGTCAAGAATCACCATGGAAGTAAAAAATAATGTGTATTTGCGTAATTTATACAGGAAAAGAACATTCTGATGCATATTCTATCTAATTTTTACATAACCTTTAATTCTGAATAATCTCTCCTAGCTCAACCCCATACACCAAAACTTAAACTTATCTGTATAGAGCAGCCTGGAATACAATAAACCGTGATATTCAAATAAACCTGACATATTTCATGTTTGTTAATCCTTAATATCATGAAGACCCGCCCACGGATCTATTTATGAAATCTCATTATATATTTATCCAATCAGAAAATGGTTATTTAATAATTCTGTTTGAAAAAAGATAATTCATTTATATAATTGTATTAAAGCTTGAAATGACAGATATTTCCCATTAAGACTCCATAGACAACAGTTACTATGATGAACAAGGTATTCTTTGGGACTTTATTTGTTGTTTTGTTCAGACTTTACACGTCTTTATCAAGGAACTACACTGCTAAGATAAACGTAGACGACAAGATACTCCATAAAAGCCTGTTGGCTGAATATTTTGTTCATTCACTGGTTATGTGCTCTGCAATGTGTGGTCTGGGGTGTACCTACTTTGGCGTCAATTTACAAAGAAAGAAATGCCGAGTTTACGGTGGATGTCATTCAACTAATTCAACAGTAGCGGAAGTAGGATGGCGATACTATAATCCGGACTCCGAAGGTAATGCAATATATATTTGTCTACAAGCTAATATGTCGTTCTCTTTCAGATTCCTTTAGAATAATTAACCATTAGTCCACTATTACGCAGGTGCTGTATTTGTTCATATATGGTGTTAATTGAATATATGCAATGAATTACTACAGAAGTACATTTTTCCGCGTGGAATTAATTTACGCGATGTACGTGGGCACGCATTTTCTGCGGAAATTTTTCCAAGCGTACTTAATATAAATGTAAGGCATATAGTGACAGTCTGAGAATTTTGCGTAATTTCAAACACGCGGATTAAGACTCCGTGAAAAAAAAGTACGTCTACAGTACCTGTAATTTAAAGTATGTTTGGGGTATTTCATCGATTTTTGTGGCAATTTTCAAAACTATAAATAAAGGAATGAAATTCTGTAAAATTTTTATTCTGATGCCATAATGTAGACATGCATTCCTCTTCTGCATTACATTAGGAAATACGTAAGTTCCGTTTAAAGGAATTAATTCAAAGCATAACTATTTTTTTTTTATTTCAAACATAACCTTTTCCATATGTAAATCAGTACTTGTGCAGTTAATAATAAACAAATTAACGAGATTAGTTTAAAGCATTATTTTATTATTATCTCAAGCATAATCTTTTCTTTAAGTAAACCGGTACTTATGTAGTTAACAATAAACAATTTGTAAAAATCCTGACTTCGTCATAACAAAGAAATCCCATGAAACATTATACCTTGAAGGATTTCAAAAGAAAATTATGATGAAATTTCCAATTATTGAATGAAATTTTATATTATAGACATGCAGACATCTTGATATGCAAATGAACTTAAGATCACATGTATAATTAGTATATCTCTGCCCATCTTGTTCTCTTGTTCTCTTGAAAAAAAAAATTATTTCTCATAACTCTCATAATTTGATAAAATGTTTATTTTTCTTTTTTCCCTACAGAAATACTGCTTCTTCACATCTGAATCTGCCTGATTTTTATTACTTTACAAATATGAAACAGGAAAATTATCTAAAAAAACAATACTTTTCTTTTTTCAAATACGAGGGTTGTTCGAAAAGTTCGTGGACAACTGTTATATCTTTTTTATTTGATGTCATATGTTATCCAAATTTGGTAGAAATATTTTTACAATAAATCCAAATGATCTGTATAAATATTTTCCACAATATTACGATTTATTCATAACTTATCAAGATTTTAAAAATGCAAAAATTGGATCGCGGAGCAGGTCAAAATTTAGTAAGTTACAGACAATACACTGTGTAATATCTGTAGTCGCATTCTCTGTAAAATGGAGCAAAAACGAAAAACAACCTAGAAATTCAAATAAAGAATTGTTACACCCATTTGTATACCAAATAATGGCTTTATATTTTGCTTTGTTGAAAAGAAGTCATCTTGAGAAGATAGGCAGTCCTTGTTAAAAACGACAAAAAAGATGACGGTTTAGAACGTCACGGAGCAGCAGGTAACGATGCAATTTGGTGTTTTAATCAGGAAAATCCCTGAATAAACTCTAAAAATGTTAGAGGAATCAAGAAAATATGTCACAAGCGAGTTGTGCATGTGTGTACAAATATTACAGGCGGTTTTTCAGTGACAGAGACTCTATATCGGATGAAAACAATCAGTAAACCTATGGTTTTACTGTAAAAATGTGAACAAAAACTTTAAAAAGCTGGAACGTCGAGTACAGCCATAGACGCTTTAGAGTCACGTATCCTGTGAAAGCATAGTTAAGTAATAAAATAAATTAAAACCTAAACAAAGGAAATTATACAACTAGAGCAATTCTTAAAAAATAAATGCCAAGTATTAGAACAAGGATTCAATGAGAGGGTATTGGATTATACTGTATGAAATGTATAGGGATAGTATTTTTTTTAGAAATTCTTGGCGCTATGTTTTGACGTTACATTGACGTTAAGTGTGCAAAACAGATACAAAACATGTTGATTTTAAAATGAAGTAAATTGATTTCTATTTAATCGAATGATATGAAACTTCACACATCAACAAAAAAAGACCTTTTTTGAGTACCCTCAAAATTGACCTTTTGACCTTGACCTCGGCGTTTGACCCACTTTTACTTTTGCCATACCTTTTAAACAATAGATACCATGACAGTTATACTTCACATATATGTATTCTTTGTGGAGAGACCTCTCTACCTATCTTGGATACCAACAACCTTTACCTTTTGACCTTGGACATTTCTGAACTTAGGAAAAAACTTTAGCCTTGGCCATAACTTTAACACGATAAGGGGTAGGGCTTTTATACTTCACATATATATTTCTTGTAAAAATACCCTTCATTGGATACCCAGAACTTAGACTTTTACCTTGGAGTTTGATCTTCTTTAAAAAAGCAAACCTTGACTAGAACTTTTAAAGGGTTAGGGCTAGTGTTTTTATACTTTGAATATTTAATGCTTGTGACAAGACCTTTCATTTGATAGCAAGACGTTTGAATCTATGACCTTGATCTTGGAGTTTGACCTACTTATTTTTTTACCTTATCCATACCTTCTGAACGTTTAGGACTTGGACTTCCATACTTTATATACCTTTTCCCCGTGGCAAGACCTTTCGTTGGATATCAATTACCTTGACCTTTTAACCTTGACTTTGGAGATTTTCATACTTATGAAAAAACGTTAACCACGGTCATTTCTTTTGAACGCTGATGGCTAGTCCATATCTTTTGCTAGTGACCTCATACTATACATATTTTATTATAGACCCTTCATTGGATACCAAGATTTCCAAACTGATGAAAAATGTTTTCTCTGACCTGATTTCATATTTTAAAGCTGTATTTCCAGTGAGTTTGTATAAAAGAAAAGTTAAATCTTCGGTAATTTGTTGCCATACGGAGGCATCAGTGTTTCACAAACACATTTTGTTTTTCTAAGGTTTTTCGCACAAATTTAGGTCATATTGTTATTATGCAAGACTGTATATCGAGGCAACAAAAAAATATTTTAAAATGATTTTTCACTTACTTTTAAGTTACGATAACTAACTTAAAACATAATTCACTCATGGTTATTGGTAGGATTTTCATATACAGTACTCTTGATTGATAGTGTATGATAGTACACAAATCCCTTTTCGTGGTTTCTTCTAACGTGTAGGCGTCTATGAACCAGTTCTTTTTAAAGCAGTTCTTTGTCTTGCATAGACTCAATATTAGTGCATATCATGTAACTTGATGATATGAAAGGATTCCTCATGGAGTTTTTACAATGTTTCTGTTTGGAGTATCAACATATTGATTTTGGGTTAAAAATAGGGTAGAAAATTTTCTTCTTTTCGGAGTTGGGCAAGGGGATGAAATGACTTTATTTTTGCTGTACTTTTTTCTTTTAGCCGTTCTTTTAAAAAAATGCAAAGAGTAATTCTATGACCCTACTTTGAAACGTGTCATAGTAAAAAAAATTCCACATCTGTCTAATAATACGATTGTTAAAGAATAGTTGCATCGCACGTTACTTATGATGGGAATCGTTGCATCATACGTTACTTCTAAAAACCCATGTTAAAAGCGATTAAATAAATATTTTCATCACAATTCTAGAGTGAAATGGGAAAACAACAAATTTCCATTAAAGTAAACTTGTAGCTGAACTTGTAAATTGATTTGAAAAAAAGTTCTATGAATAAACTTTTAAACCTCTTTATTATGAAAGTGCAAAGTGTTTAAGAAAACGGCGCATCACTGGACATTGTCCGTTATGTCAACAGATGCCTGTGTCATTCCTATATTGCAAAGGCTAACACAATTACATCTAGGGCTATTTTGCGTTTAAGCCATACAAATACGACATTAACTTACCATGGTCAAATCTCCATGTAAAAACGCCATAAGGACTCGTTTCATCATACGTTACGGAATAATTGCATCATAGTAACGCTGTGGCACGGTGGTATAGTAAAAGTTCCAGTATCTGGGTAAAGAATGTGGCAGTTAACAATTTGTCTGAATTTTTTATTCGGATTTCTTTTCCAATTGTTTGCAGTTATAAGCTATAAAAAAAATTCAAGGTTGACCTTTCAGTGACTTTTTAATTGACTGAATGGTATAGGTTTATTCTATGTAGATACCTTAAATTGAAAAGTTATTGCAATAAATTTTAACTTCCTTTTTCTATATCTGTATTATATATAGCATTTTGTGTCTAAAGAAATATAATTATTGATTTTTCTTGATAAAGTTTTAGAGAATTTTCGTCCGAAAGATTGTAAAAGTCTGCTTGCTGTCGGGTTTACTGCGTCCTGTATTTATACGATCTACCCCTGGTACAACAATCCAGTGGAAGTTTTCTGTGATATGGATACAAAAGATGGAGGATGGACGGTTAGTGTGATAATTAATTTATCTATGCATAAATTATAACAGATAGAATGTATGACTACAAACCCTATGAAGCAATGTTAATGATCTTTTTTTTAATACAATAGGCTATACAGAGGCGTGTAAATGGATCGATTGATTTCGACAGATTTTGGAATGAGTACAAAGAAGGATTTGGTTCTGCATATTCGTCTTACTGGATAGGTATAATTCAAATATTTAATACTTGTAATGGATATAAAGTCTCAATTGATTAAAAATATTATGCAAAATATTTTTACTTATAATATAATTAGTATAAGATACATGCTATGCGATGTCAGGAATGCATATTGCATTTAACAGTAGTCTAACTAAAGTGCTGCGTTACAAAAATGAAAAAAATATAGTTTACTTAATACCGTGAATCTAATATCAGACTTCCTTATTGCAGGAACTGTAATTCTATCAATTAATAATTAACTTTTCAAATGAAATGATAAAAGAGCATTAACTCCTACTTGTATTCCTTAAAAATGTATACAAGTATTTGTTTCTCTGAAATTCAAAATTTATTAACATTCATGTACAACATAATCTTATGTGATTGAAAGCAATTAAAAGGCTATAAAGATCAGTGATTGCTTGACAAAATATTTAATTTTATATAATTTATACAATGACTTTTGTAATATATAATAATTCTATTGTATATTATAATATTGTGGCCCCACCCTACCCCCAGGGGTAATGATTTGTTCAAACTTGAATCTACATCACCTAAGGACGCTTCAAAAGAAAAATGATCAATCATGGCTGTGAAATTGTTGAGAAAAGTTTTTTTAAAAAGATTTTTCCCTTTTGCGGGTACTGTATAGGGGATTAATTTCACGGGTTGTAATTTTCACGGTTTTCTCTCATCTGACATGATCGCGGTTTCTTGAATTCGCGGAATTTGGTATGTAATAAAAGTTACTTCCATTGCCTCTATTTAATCCATACCATAGCTACATGTAAACGACATTAATCAGCGTCATGTCTTTATTTCACGAACAGGGTAAGTTATTATAAAAATGTTAGATTTTATAAATAATTAATTTACACAAGTGCAGTTATTAATAGTCCCTAAACGTTAAATGACTTTCCTATATGCTATTACGATGAGTGCATGTGCACCCGAGATCTTCAACACAACGCAGCGAAGGACGGAAATAAAACTTTTTATGTAGTTTTACGAAATAATATCCTTCCACACTTCCTTCGTCAGTAAGTTCGATATTTGAATGATAAACCAAAATGTAGATAAAAACTACATGAACTAATATGCCTGAGAATGCAGGTAACAAATTCACGTGGTACATTAGTTATGCACGGGTAATCAAGGTGTGTTCCCCGAATGGCTACTGGAATAAAACAACAAGTAATTATCACACTCAATTAAGGGGCCCTCTAAGGGGTACAGGTAGACTTACCTGTGTTTACCTGGATAAGCAATATTTTGTAAATCAGATATATTCATTCAATTATATTTTAATTCAGAGAGTTTTATATTTTTCGAAATATACTGAATAAAAATATATATAAATATGAGTAGATAAAATTAAGATTTAAGAAAAGTGAAATTTTTATTGTACCTTTAATTCAATTTTTTCCCCAAATTATTAATAGTATTGATTGAGAACTTAAAAATTATTATCCCTTTTTGTGCTACATTTTCAAACTCTTTCTTTTCTTTCTTTTTTTTAAATAATATACCGGTAGATATATATGTATGATAAATAAAGTGTTTCTATAAAGTTTTGTTTAATTTATTTCATTTATCTATCATTTTGAATTATCAAAACATTCTATTAAATAATCATAAAATCCAGATGAAGTTTATGAACTTCTTCACCTTTCATAGCAATCCTTTAGTTGCAAAGAAATATACGGAGATGGACTAAATAAATTGTAAATATGTGTTATATGAAAGTGAAACAGTGTTATCTCAGATATAATGTGAAAATCAGTGCTGCTAATCAATAGAACTTCAAGATAATATAGTTTTTAATATGATTTGTGCTTGTAAAATTATTTATTTAAAAAATATGTATACAAAATATTTATTTAGTGCTCAAATTAAAATAAAATGAGAAGAATTTCCATTTTATTTTGTTTCAATTATGGTAGATTATTCATACCGGTAAGTCTACCTGTACCCCTTAGAAGGCCCCTTAATTGAGTGTGATAATTACTTGTTGTTTTATTCCAGTAGCCATTCGGGGAATAAACCGTAATCAAAACCCATGGCCCACGTGTTTTGATTGATGAAACATGTAGCGTTGGCTATTAAAACAGCTTTTGAACAAACACAAATTATTATCTGCCGATTTGAATAAAAGTAAAGCGTGATAATTAAAATTAATTGATTGACAGTACTACTCGCAATTACTGAAATGACTATGGACTGCACGAACACCTATATAAATCTATCGTAGTCTATCCTCAATTTTCCAAATAAAACATGGAGATTATTGAAAATTTATTCACTGTTTCTTGAATTCACGGATTTGTTAACACCGTGAATATAGCGAATATTAACACCGCGACTTATTTTCCCCCTATACAGTATGTCAAGGAAGCATAATAATCATTTCTCGTGAAATTTAGACTTTCTTAAAGAAAATGAAGTTTGATAATTTATCAAAACCGCTCATAAACGTAAATTATTATTAATAATTGCATAAAGAGAAAAGAGTGTTTAACACAAAGACTTGCACAATTGCCACGGCATCACGTGACTTCTATTAATAGCAAAATGCTCCTTAATAAAAAAGCTAACAGAACAACAGTACCCCGAAATCTACTAACTTCTTTGAGTAAATAATTTCGTCAAAAACATCTTTTATACTTGCAAATTACTGCTAGAATCCCACTGTCAATTCAGCAACGTAATTATTTCACACATTCGCAAGAAATCTTTCCCGATGTTTTGAATTTTATTACTATTCGCTCGAGATTTTTCGTGACATATTGCTTAACGAAGGATTCTAGCAGCACTTTCCAGGTATTGTAGAAGGCAAACTTTCAATCTGTACAAATCTTATGTTATGAAATATCCAGTTACTGATGTTCTTGTGCATTATTTTTCTCACGAATGACAGAGGAAGGGCCGACGTGGACATGTATAGTTGAATGTCTTCGAAGGAGACAATAAGCGATGAAATTTGTTAGGGAACGACTTCACTTGAACACACTGTGTCCCATTTCTTTATTAGTAAAAAGCTAAAATCAAACAAAGCAAACAATCAATTATAAAGGATCAATAAAATGTGTTGATATTGACAAGATAATTCAGAATTTCCAATTTTGACCATAATGTGTTTAAATAGTTTTCCAATATCTTATGTAATAAAGATCACAACTGGCTTCCATACTTTTTTTAAAATCAATTAGCAACCACGTGTATCATGTTTTGTTCAATTACTACACAAATAAACTTGACTTCACATCAATTATGTAGAAAAAAGGTGAATTCGATTCATTTCGATAATGTATGCATATACAACATTTCAATTGCAAACATCGCTATCACAAATCTGCGCACTATGCAGAAAATAGGTCATGTCAGCCAACCGACAAATGGAGAAATAATGCATCTTAACACACTATGCATTCTTATGCACACTAGAATAATAATCTATTACATATGTTTACACAATTAAAGCATTTAAGTTAACAACCTACACTATGGAACTGCAAAAATCACTGCAAATTGATTGAGACAAAATGCTCGGCTCTTGCCGACATAGCAAAAACAAAAGTAGCTCGTACGTAAAATAATTCGTAAACATCACAAAAATAATTAAGGTAGCATACCTGTTTGATTTACTCTATATGCAATTCACATAATATTCATGATATTTGCTTCTAAACTCCATTTCCGTATCTTAATATATGCCGTCTTAGCCAAATTCTCTTTACACGACATATCAATTCCCAAGTTTCTTGATGTACAAATACGACGAAATCGGTGGTAGATTTTAATGCAAATGACAGATACAGAATAACAAAATGAAACGTTTCATTTTTGTTAATCTTTCCCAAGTTTCAAATCATTAAAATAATTCAATCCTCCTCTGATAAATACACTCTTTAAAAAAACAAACGCATAGTAGAATTTTAGTGAAACATTGAATATAAAGATTGTTTAGTAAAATCATGCATTAATAAAACAGAAATGTCGTAAGAAACAGAAATACTTTCTAAATGTCATAATTACTCAACAATTTTAAAATTATAGTCAGTTTAAAGCCATTGAAGATCAATATCTGGTATCCCCCACGCAGAAGAAAATGATAACCATAAACAACATCTAATGGAAGCAAATGTGTGTAATAAAAACTGTATTGGAATACACTCCCACTCCAGATGTAGAACTTTCTCTGTTATTGCAGAGTCTGGGATGCGATAGTCCTTGGCAAATCATGTCAATCCATTTTGTCCAATGCTGCTTAATTTGGATTAAATCTAGCGATTTAGATGACTGTGACGGAAACAGGTTGCTGTTGCTTTGCAAGAATTAGAGTGTCAAACAAGCCGTATGTAGCTGTGTATTGTGAGATTGAAAAACAGCTCTTGGATGATGCAAAATTGAATAGAAATGTGAAAGCAAAACATGGTTAGAGTACCTTTTTCCACCAAAATCCATGGAATTGAATTCGAACCAAATCAATCTGACTTTCTTGTAATATCGTTTTCTATATCATTGCACCGTTCACAGTAGCTCAGTCGGCAGAGCGCTCGCTCCGTGATCGGGAGGTCGTGAGTTCGTATCTCGGCCGCGACTGACCTAGTGGTTGAAATGGGTAGCAACTGTTCCTTCGCCATGCGCTTGGCACATTGAAGTGAAAGTTGCGGGTCCTTCGGATGAGACCTTAAAAACCGAGGCCCCGTGTCAGTGGCAGGCGTTGGCACGATAAATATCCCTCACCGCTCAATGGCCCTGAGTGCCGAGTAAAGGTCAAAATTTGAAGCCCTTTACCGGCATATGGTGACGTCTCCATATGAGTGAAAAATTCTCGAGAGGGACGTTAAACAATATACAATCAATCATTCAATCTATATCATTGCACTACCACCAGCAACTTTTTTAACGTCCTGGAGGCAGTTATCTGTCTAACATTCATTACAATGCATTAACATTCTTAAACTTATAAGAGGCTTCAGATAAATATTTTGGACTGGTAGCTGAACCAAAATGTTCAGCATTGATGCTGTGGTATGAGATCTTTGAAGTCAATATTTGGGGTGTTGTGAGGTCTAAACAATGGCATGAATAATCCTCTTGCAATAATTAGTAGTCAACTGAAAACGGTCTTGTTAGATAATCTCTGCAATTCATCAGGGATAGCTAATTCTTTAGATGATGTCATTGCATTACATTCATGCAATTTTTGTAATCCTCTGAAGTGATGCTGTGCTGCTGATGTCACACGCATTCTACCATATTTTTTGCAACCATTGGGTGTTCTATGTTAATGGTTTATGTTTTATAGTTCATATATGACTTTGTGTGTAACATTGAAACCTCTTGCATATGTAGATTGCAGTATCCCTGCTTCCAGTCCCCCATTTTCCTTTTTTGTGCTGTGCAACATTTAGATGCAGCATTTTTTGGAAGCGTTAATTTTTTCAGATAAAACCAGATTCAAAATATCGAGAACCCACGCTTTTGATAGCCCCTTTGAACCCGAAGGAATTGCATCAGAATTCAACAAATGAAATTGAGATCAACATTTGGGGTAAATTTTGCAAAAACAGATCTTTTTGTCTGTGAGACTTGTAGAATAGCTGCAAAGTTAACAATTGCATTTCACACGAATACATCATATTCAATAAAAATAAAAGGTATGACAAAACTTTCATACATTTTTTAGGGCATTGTTCCTACTATGCGTTTCTTTTTCTTTCTTTTTTTTTGAAGAGTATATCATGATTTGAACAGACTTGAATTAACACTTCCCGAGTATGCTTCCACATTAGTTTCAAACTTCCTTATCCAGTGGTTTTTGTGAAAATTGTTTTTAAAGTCAAAATCTTTATATTTTTAAAATATTATATTTTTGTATTTTTAATTATGTCACTTGGAAGTGGGCCTTGGCATACATTTAGACAAACATGAATCCCCATTACTTAAAGATACTTAGTTGCAAGTTTGACTGAATTTGGCTTAGTGGTTATGGACAAAGAAACTTAAAGATAACCATGCTTTTAAGAATAATTGATATCAAAACAACTATAAAAAATGTTAAAAAGATATACTGTAAATATGTCATTTGGTCGGAAACCAGACAGGAATCCCTCTTTGAAATAAATTTATTTCAAGAAAATTGATCTGCTAAGTCAATGAAGTCATTCATTATTTTATTTAGGAAATGACGTCATTCATCAATTAACCATGAACAGACCGTCTCTCTATGTGTCCATTACTTTGACAAATGGAACTACTCTTTATCAACAGTACAAGGAGTTCTCTGTAAGCAGTGAGACAGACAACTACAGACTTTACCTTGCTGGACCGACCGAAGGGACATTAGGTGGGTGTCTGTTTAATTAGTTGGATTAATTTCTGAGAATCTTTATACATTTGTAAATTATTAACGAAATCAAACACACTAGCAGTAAATACGTTTGTGGGTGATAAAAGGTCGAATTATGTCATGGATTCAATGTCTGGAAATGGATAAGATCACAATCCCTAATAATTATGTTTATAAGGATTTCTTTTTCCTACCTTAACTTTATTCATAATTTATTTCATCTGTAAATACCAGGGTAGTTTTTATTAGAAGAAATATAGTAATGGTTCCTTTTATTATGGATAAGTAAAACGTTTTTTATCGTAATTTAAATATCTCGAAAGCATTTGGTGAGGAAGTATTTTATCCAATATTATAGTTAAGGTAACACTTAATGGGTAGTTATATAGTGTATTTGTATAAAGTGATATTGAATCGGGTAGGTGTCCATGTTATCCAACTTTTATCCAGCTGTGAATATGAGCTGCATTCTACATTCGATAAATTATCAATCAATCCACCAATCATTTAACTAACACAGTGATATCGTGTAAGAAGGAATAAATCTCAATGCCGACATTAATTAGGTCATATTCCTTGTTTTTCTTCATTTTCATTTTCTTTACCTTTACAGGAGACAGTATGTTAGACACTGGTTATCCAAATTACGACGATCTGTCTGGGATGTACTTCTCGACCCACGACAGGGATAATGACAGATGGATTTATAACTGTGCTGATTTTTATAACCGTAAAGGAGGCTGGTGGTTTAATGGCTGTCACCGAGCCTTCCTTAACGGTCGATGGTCCCTGGAGTACTGGGTCTGGCCTTGGTATCCAACACTGACTGATGGTAGAGAAATAAAAGAGACTGTTATGATGATAAAAACTCTGTAATACTGTTCAATGTTGTTTTTATTGTTTTTTTTCACAACCAACACAAGCACTGTAAAGCTATTTGGCAGACAATTGGCCAGCCTGTCTTATCCGGACCCCTCTAGTTCAAAATTGGCCAGACTAGATGTTATTCCAATTAAAACAACGTTTTAACAGTCAAATTTGCTGAAATGAATTTAAATATTTCCTCGTATATGACTTGATATATATAAATACATTATAAAGATAAGACATGATTTACTATACATGAAGTTAGTGAAGAGAAGTTGCTCTGAGAGTATTGCTTTACTTTTGATGTTTTTAAAAAACTTTTAAACTGATCAATTTTATGCAGAGGATGAATAGAGGTATATAAATTGATCTATTGGAATCCCATAGAAACTATTTGCGATCCGTTATTAGCAGTTTTTTTGTATTCATATGAAGCAGAATTTGTGCAAAATCTTATGCATGAAAAGAAGATAACACTTGCTGTGGCATTCAACTCAACATTTAGTAATACCGAAGACGTATTGTCAACTAGCAATTAATGATTATTGCCATTCCTACATTGTACGTCGATAAGATATATCCTGATAAGCTTAAGATTAAGAATACCATCTGTTTCATATATGGATATTTTAATTGAAAAAAAAAATTGTCTAAAAACCAAGCTCTATAAACGTGACAACTTAACTTTTCTATCGTCAAATTCCCTTACTTTTGCACTTATATACTTTCATAACCTGATACGGAGTTTTCAAACTCAGTTGATTCGAAACGCAAGAACATGATCTTCATGTGAACAATTTCTAGAACGAAAAACAGAACTTTAAAGGGTATTTCAATTCAATTGATTGTAAATATTTTTGTATGTTCATCTCATCATTCATTGGACTCAATTTATTAAACATTCAATATAATCTATTAAATCTCATTTTATTGATAAATATTTTTAAAAATAAAATTTTCGAGATTTTTTCTTCTTAGCAAACTGGAAAATCGATTTTTAACTTAGATTCCATGTATATCCATGCGTATAAAAAAACAAAGAGAATCTCACACTAAATTAAGTGACGACACAATGAGGCTTAAAACGTTGAAATCAAAACATTTAGTTTATTTTGCAGTTCTTAAACACGTATAATATCAAAATAAGGAATTGTTTGTGCGAAATCTGGTCTGCAAATCAATAGACATTTAAGTTGGTATACTTTTATACAGCGCTGGCTTGCTTTAAGAAATATGCCTATGTGTTAAGTCTTTCTTATAGCTAATCATGTATAAAATTATGCTCCTTTCAAAATATCACCTTGCTACAACAATAATTGCAAAATCTTACAAATTGTTACATGTAAATATTTTTATTCTTGATGCTTATACATTTATGTGTTGTAAGTGGTAATAATAAATATAGATCTTGATGTAATTGACTTCAATTTGTGAAAAAAAGAAAATCAATCTGCTGGTTAAGGTACCTGAGGTAAAGATAATCTTATTTTTTCTCTATATATATTTCATTGACAACATGCACAGATCTAGAAGAAGGGGGGTAGGGTCAGGACCTCCCTGGAATTTGCAAGGTTATTCATTGTTTATATCAAAGCAAGAAAATAAGTTACCTTAGACCCCCCTTTCGGATATCGCAAACCCCTCTGGAAAACGCGAATTTGTATTTAATTGGTATGAAAAGCAAAAGGTTTGAAGCATTAGAAGTCGTCGACTCTTTGCTTGTCCAGAAATTTCTGGGTTTGATTTTTTTGACTTGGATGGACCCCCTCCCACCTCTCCCCTTTGGAAAAAAAAATTCTGGATCCGGGCCTTGACAACAACATTGTGTGAAATCTCTTTTTACTTTTGTCAAATTTCATCTGTTTATCTCAGTATTTAAACAAGAAATGTATGGTTCTCTTTTTCTAAAAGATCATTAATTATTCACATTAAGGTGATTCGAACGTGACGAAAATACGTCAACTGCGCAACGCCAAACGTCACGGAAATTTAATCTCTACATCAAATGTTCTAATACATAGACTTTTTAATACAACAATTATAGATTTATTTCATTAATAAACAAAAATAAGAAATAATTGAATACGGAAAAATCATATTGTTTGTTATCCTTGATTTTATTTAACATATGTTTGATTCATTTATGTATTAGAGCATTTGGTGTAGAGATTACATTTCCGTGACGTCAGCTGATGGCAATCGGGCCTTTGAACGAAATTCGAAGTTTGCATGAATTTTAGTTGTTTGCATTATCAACGCGTTTGATTTAAATTTAAGGAAGAAATGTTTAGCGAGAAATATCATATTTGAACCTAATGCTACACGGAAACAGGTAGGCGTGTCCGATTTATATGTTAAATTCAAGCCTGAACCGAGAGGGGGTCAAATTGGCGTTGCACACTTTGTGTATTTATATATAGGCCCTAGAGAGGGTAGAATTTTTCGATATTTGGCTTATTTAGCGACTCGATCATTGATAAAAATTCAGGTGCCTGTGTAAATACCGACGGGTGTCCAGTACTCAAACAGCAAGATGGACTAAGAAGTCTGAAGGACCAGACCACAATTATATCAGTCATAAGTAGACATTACAAATAGGCCCTACGCACATGTGATTACTTTGAAACTGTAACATGTATGCAGACTAAGCTCTACCGTATACATGTAGATCTACGTACTTGGAACATTAAAATCATACATATATGTATAACAAGGCACACAATTGCCCCACCAGACATTAAACGTAAAATGAAAATGAAGAGAAATACCATATATACACATAATATTTTTGGACTTAGAACGTTGGCTTTATAAGAGATGTCGTTAAAAAAATGAAAACTTTTTTTTGTTTTTGATATTACTAATATAAGTGAAACGATTATTATTTTTTCATATTTTCAATTAATATTCTCTAACTTAGGACATATTTAAATACAGAAAATTAAGCTCTAACTATTATAGAATGAAAAAAATTAGGATTTTTTTGTGAAAAACATAAATTACAGTACATTTTTTGTTTATATTTTAAAATAAAAGGGAAGTTACTCCTCTTCAGATTCTCAAATTGGGGCCTCATATAGGGTTTTCAATTGAAAAATGAAGGAATAGTCATCAATGAAGCATGAACATGAAGCATTTTAATTTTTTAGATATGAAAATAAATAAACTTTTAAATGATTTTATTATAGAATTAGAGAACGATTTATTACTAATTCAGGGCCCATAAAAAAATTCATGTAAATTACAGATAAACAAGACACTAGAATAAACATATAATGTACATGTACAGTGTATAATGGAAAGCAATTCTTTGATAAAGTACATTAATTGGTAGTATTAAAATTAATTCTCATGTGTTTGCAAAGGTTGTTTTAGTATTTTAAATATGTCTATACATGTAATGTATTATCCCTGTAGGAAAAGAGAATTTTCAGAATCTACAATTTTACTGAAATTCAAAATCTGAGATACCCCCCCCCCCCCAAAAAAAAAAAAAAAAAAAAAAAAAAAAAAAACGAAATGCATATTTATAAAAGACAAAAGATTATCAATATTTTTTAAAATGAACCAAGCTATGGTGCTGATTTACCTATACCTATAGACTTTGCAGGTCTACTGCCGCCATGATCATAAAACCGGAAGTACGAGTTCATAAATTTGAAATTTCAATCAATTCAATTAGACATCAGAAAGGAAAAAAAATCTTCTTTTCCTCATTTTTCCCCTGATAATTCAAAAACTTGAGCAGCAGGTTTGTAAGCTTAAAACAAAAAAAATATGTTGGCCTTAATATTACGCGGGTTGGTTAAGGCAGCACATGGATCAGAATTTGGCGAATAAACACTTTTTATAATTATGTAACACTAATAAATCGGAAAAGTCAAGGATAAAACTTTTACTACAATTATGCATTCTATAGACTTCAATGGGACTTATACTACAGGAGGCACTTCACCACGACGTCACCATGTGACGTCTATAATTAGAAAATATGCCTTAATGAAAAAGTGAAAAGTTTAACACTACCCCGGGGATAATTAGTTCCAATTTATATTAATAGTTATGTAAAAACATCTCTGTACCATGAAAAGTGCTGCTAGAATCCTACTGTCCTCTTATAGAAATAATTATTCAACAATTTCGGACGAAACCTTCCCGAAATTTTTACATTTTGTTCATAACATCGAAAAAAATGCATCAATTCCCGTAAACCACACGATTCTAGCAGCACTTTCCAAGGCAAGTTTCAAGGTATGCGGCGTAGTGTTGAACTTTTGCATTTTTTCTGTTACAAACGACAGAGGAAAGGCTGATCGGCAAGTAAACACCCTCCCTGCTTTAATTTTACGAAGAAATTGCAGAATTATATTACCATACCTTATTCATACGCTTTATTCCCACAAGAATCACACATGATATTCATTCTAAATGCTTTTTAAACTCCGATTTCTTGTGTTTGTTTACATCAATTCTCGTTACTATTCACTTTCACTCTGCTAATGCATGATCAACAGTTAGGACGTCACGGGTTTGGTATGTAACCCCTGTGATAACTACAGAGGCCCAGGAACGACAAAATTCCGTTGATATTATTCCTCTGCATATTTTGGTTAATTTTTACGACCTCAAATCAATCTTAGATATCGATTTTAAGAAATTGTTACCTCTAAATATCATGTCATATAGCTTATTATGACGTCATATCATATAGGCAAGTTGAATATTTGGTTGTAACCTTAACCTACCTGCGTGCATTGCATACTTGAAAAAGGCATTTAGTTTCAATATGAACTGAGAGATTATTTTAATGTTTCTAAAGCTAATGACTATTTTATTGAATATTTTCACCTCAAATGTTCAGAACTGATAAATTATACGGTGTATTTGATTATTTTATGGAAACTTTTAAGATTTTTTGTGTTTATCTTTACATATATAAATGTTTTTTTGGAAAAGGCTAAAAATTGAGCAAGACCCAATGAAAGTCAGATGATTATATCTTTCTTCCG